GCGGCCCAATCTTCTCGGATTCCCGCTGTCGCGTTCTAAGCCGGAGGAACCCGTTCAATGGGCTTATCGAACTTTCCAAATCATTATCCGAGTGATTATATCGTGCTCTGTTCCGGTCCTGGCTAATTAACGGATACTTCGAGGGGAATCGTTCGCTCTTGGAAAACTCGATCGGCTTTTTAGGCTAGCAACGTTCCTCGAGCTGCATTGTCTCGCGGGAACAAAGGTTCTTACGGCTTTTCCGTTTCTCCGAGGGAAATCGCGCGAGTTTATCATTTTTCCCGAGAACCTGGTTCGCTGATTATGAATACGCTAATCGGAGACGAATCCGATCGCGATTTTATCGTTGTATTCTAGTCACTTGCCGAAGAAGTAGGACATTCCACGGCCACGACTCTTCCGTTATCTTCCACAGACCGTGGCCCTAAAATATACGTGGCCCTATACAGTTAAGTCGATGGACCGAAAGCCAGTCGAAACGAGCGCGCCATTAACTGAATCAACATTTACTCGGCCTATTTTTGCCCCGGAAAATGGGAACCGGTTCGTTGTTAACGATAGCCCAGTGCTGGCCGAGGACTCTCGTGCATACATAGGAAACCGATAGCTTCGAAAAATATTTGAAAATATTTGAAAATATTTGAAAATATTAGAAAATTTTGCAAAATCGACGGACCGATAAAGATCGAGTTTGCTGAGAAGGAAACACCGTGGAACACGGGTATCAAAGGGTCCCCTCGGCAAACACCTAGGAATCTCGTCAGGGGGTAAACGGCAGCCGCGACAGGGCCATTACCGATTAATCGTTTAAAAGCTTCTACCTCGACGCAACCTTAACGAACGCTTTAATCAATCCACCTAAACGAGTTACGCCGCTGCGCGTTTCTTAAGAGCCCGTTGTCGTTTCTTATTCGCGACAACGAGGCTCCGCACCCCATCAGACGTCGCGCGGAAAACCGCGTAAAAGGGTCCTGGCCCGCCCTCATTTCCTCCGTCGGCATTGTTTTTTAATCGTGATAAATCGCGCCGAGCACCGCGACGCGATTTACCGGCTATCCATCGTCACGCGCTCGTCTATCCATCAGTGATTACCACGCGAATACATCCGGCGCAATAAAAGATCTCCGGTTCGATTTATAGCGGCGAAAGTGGCGTTTTATTGGCGCTATCGATCTCTCGGATCCCAGAGATTCCCTGCACGACTGTCCTGCGTCGCTGATACCCGTCGAAATAAGAGGGATTCGGTGTAGCAGGTGTCGCGAATAAACTGACAACGGTGAAATATAGCGCGCGCTCGTTTAATGTACGTATAACCGTAGATAATTTATCTTTTTGCTCCCACTTCCTTCTTTTTTCCCCGTTCATCTTCCCACCCCTTGCCCGAACCACGGCGGTGGCGCTGATGGCGATACGTTATCGCCTTACCTCGTGCGCAGGTGTTCCGACTCTGGCGGTGCATCGATGAACTCGTTCGAACCGTTCTTCCGGTTCGCTGCAAGCGGTGCGCGTCCATGTTCGCTGGTAAATGAAGTACTTGCCCGTCTTTAGCCTCGTACCGACAGGTGTAACTAATTTTTCCCTCGGAGTAGAGAAAACAGGCGTCGAGACGAGCTCGAAGAAAACCAGACGACGCTTCGAAAGATTCTACCTCGCCGTTTTTGACACTGACGAGCGACAGCTGAATAACGGCACAATAACGGCAATAGGACGAAACGATAATAGGGAAAGCGAGAATCAGCTTACTTCGAAGATGCGAAATTTGCCAATAAAATGGCAAAAGCTTGTACCCAACGGTCCTATTTATCCAGTCGGAGAAGAACCGGGTGCCACGAAAAATCGTAAACTCGAGCGAACCGATGGAACACCCCCGGTGACTTACCTTCCACTTCTGGCATCGGACGAAAAATATTTATCGTTTGCCGGGTCCGGGATCCCTGGACGGAATAATAGACCGTGGCAGCTCGAGAGTTAGACGTTGGCGTAGCAAAGGGCTCGGGGGGTGCACCTTTAAGATCGAAGTCTGGGCGGCAGAGAATGAAGAACAATGGGGGAAGGATGAACGGAGCGTGGAAGGAGAAGAGCGGGTTAGGGCAAGGGGAGGGTTGGAGCTTGTGTCATGGGTTCTGTCGGGCGTCTTGGTGGGAGGCCTAGCGAGAAGAAGGGTGAAGCGGCTCGAAGGGAGGCTAATAGAAACGAAGAGGCTGCCTGTCGTCGAGGCATAAAGCCGTAAACCGTACAGGTGCCGTCCTTCTCTCGATGCTTTCGCAATTTAGGGATACGGAACGAAAGCATCCATCGATCGGTTAGTATTTTTGCGAATATTTCTCCAAGAGCGCGATTCTTTTCAACCGTGAATTTTCTCGCGTTTCGTAAAAACGAAATAGTAAATCGATTCGAGGATGGTTTCACGGCTGAAGAAAGGTGGGAAATATAAATTCTAGTTTCGCAGGAACATTTTAACCCTTTGCACTCGACGACTTTTCCGTTACAGAGAAATAAAAATTCGAAGACTCTCTGTCATAGAGTCGACGTTATTTTTAACCCTTTGCACTCGAGAGGCGCCTCTCACTCACCCATTTAATCAAATTCCAACGATGGATATTAATTAATACGTCAAATTTACAATTACCTAACGATGCGTGGAATATCAAAGTAAAATAATTCTACGTCTTAATTTTTATACGATTTCTCATTTATCGTTTTAAAATTATCGTCGACTTTATGGCAGAAAGTCTTGGAATTACTTTCTTCCTGAAACGAAAAAATCGTCGAGTGTAAAGGGTTAAAATGGTAAATGAGAAATCATATGCAAATTAAGACATGGAATTATTTTTCTCCGACGTTCTACGCATCGTTATGTAATTTTAAATTTGATATAACGTCGATCTTTAGAATCTGATTAAATGGTGACTGAGAGTCACCTCTCGAGTGCAAAGGGTTAAATTTTCAACGTGTAAGACAAGTTAGGTTGAACATCGGCAAGGATCGTGTCCCCTCGTCTGCGACTATGGTGAGGGCCCATGAGTAGCCATGGAAAACATCATACTGGTGAAATAACAACGGCCGATGAGTGGCAATATCTAAATATCGACGATCGGGCGAGCTATGTGATTATTTGTTAATTGATAATGTAGGAAAAGAATAAATACGGCCCTGAAAAAATGCAAGAGTGTTTGGGCTTAGAACGAAAGTGACCGCGTGCAAGAGGATCGAATGTAAGGGATGTTTATGACAGAGTCGAATGCGATAAACGAGTGGAAGCCTATGAATGCGTCTGAGTGTTTAGGATACGTGACCGATCAATTGAGAAAGAGAACGTGGGTATGAAAGAAGACAGAGTGCAAGGGTTTAAATAAGAGTGCAAGGACGTGGAAGAGCAAGGATCAGAGAGTGTCAGAGTGTTTGAAAGTCAGTCATAGAGTTTCAGAGAGATAGGCGAGAGTTATTAGCGAGTAGAATAAGTTTTAATTTAAAATAAATCATTTTTATATTTATGTCACTGCTTATTCTGTTGTCTACCTAACATTCCTACAATAAAGTGTCAAAGAATTGTCCAAAGCCTTTAACACTAGATTTACGAAATCTCTACTCAATTTGACGGATGGGTTGCTCCAATTATACGATGGCAACAGATTTAGTCAACTTATATTAAGACTGTTAATATTGTAATAGTTTTTAAACGAAACTAGTCGTTAAAAGAAATGACACGTGGTTTCCTTCACCTGTCAATTTGACAAGTGTCAAATATGTAGAAACAGGTATACAGATAGCGTCCGTAAACCTAGTGTTAAGCTTCCATGTAAAAGGAAACCAAAAGCATCGACTGTAAGTCGGTGATATCCCACTGAACGTGATCCAAATATCACGTATAGAAGTATGTGAGTGTGTGAGGATGAACGACGCGTAAACGAGGTATGAATCATCGTGTTTAGTATGCAAGAAGTACAGCAGAGTTAAAGACGTGTAAGATCATTAAAACCAGTAAAATAAAAGTAATATCTTTTACCAAAAATCTAAAACCTTATCAGCCTACGGGCTCAGAACTCTTCCTTGGTGTAAAATAAAAGAATTAAAAAAATTATAAACCTGAAACCTTATCATTCCAAAATTTTCCTGCAGTCTTCTCACAAACGAATACTCGCTAGCATTCGCCATTTTCCGCGTTACGCGCTCTCTCTCGATAGAATTTATTCGCTCGGTAAAAGGAGCTACCTATCTATCTGGAAGTAGATAAAATTCAAATTTTCTCCAGACCTTTAGGAAATGGTCGATGAACAAAGGAGATTCTCGAAGGAGCGTTCGGCATTCGAAATAACACCCTCGAATTCGCGAGGAATCGACGAGAAAGGGGAAGTTCGCTTTAAGACGAATAAGAAATGATCTATCTCTTGATGACTCCTCGATATCCGTCGTTTGTTTACCTCGAATCCCGCAGAAAAGATTGCTCATTCCGTACGGATAAGCGCGAAACTGGGACGTTTCGTCGAAATCGCGAGGGTGTATAAAACAGAGACGCAGCTTAGTGCCACGTTATTCGAAACTCTGCGACGTTTTTCGCTCTCAATTCTGACAAACCCAAACTTCCAACTTCTTCATCCCCGAATTCTCCTCTCAAAATTTCAGCGAGAAAGGAGAAGGCGTTCGTTTCGTCTCGGGAATCTCGAGAGAAAAGTTTCACGGGCAGGGACTTGTCTCCGCCCAGGACTCTTTTTGCTCGCGTGAAAATGGCCGAGACTTAAAAGATTTACGGCTTCCTTCGGTTCCGAGGCTTTCCTCCCTTTTTCTGTCGCTCGCGCGTCTCGCGGATCCTCGAGTTATGCAGATTTCGCGGGAATTCCCGCCGAAAATTGAAATTTCATCCCCCGCGAGCAACGTTCCCCCGAGATTACGGCCGAGCGCCAAACAATCGCGTGCCACCGCCATTTTGTAATCGGAAAAAGGACAAAGCTTCGGAGAGAAGGAAGATTGTACGAATATTTTTCATGCTTTGATCTACTCACGTTGATGCACGTCGATGCCGGGGAGGAACTGGTGGTGCTGTAGTGGCAGGGACGTACCTGAAAGCACGAAAGGAAACAGTGAATTATGGCATCTTGCGTTAACGTTACGTCGAGTGTCTTTCCTTAAGATTAGGTAAGAGGATTCCTCGTCACGTTCAAGTACCCTTTAACCCCTTGCCCTACGATTTAACCCATATCGGTTACCAGCTTTTTATACGTGATTCTCACTAGGTTGTAACTAGGTTCGGTCACGCGACGCGCAACTGCAGCGACAATACTTTTATCACGCGAAGGGTGACTTACAACTAACAAGGGTTGAGATTCAACAGCGTGGTCCCAAAACGTAAACAAAACTGTCAAACCTTGGAGCTATTCCACGGCTCGGCAAATTAGTCTTAAGTTGTCCTAATCGTACACGACTTACGTAGGGCACATCGACGAATCATGACCGTGACACGTGGTGCTTACATTTGGTCCGGTGGACGTATCACGTGCCAGGCTCGTGATAGTCAGTTTTGGTTCGACAACCTGGCCACGAGCCTCACACGTGGCTGTAAGCCAAAGGAATAACCCGACCTAGTTCCCAGATTCAACCGAAAGCAGTATTGGCGTAAGGATCCGCGAGACATTTATCGAATTTCTCGAAGAAAACTGACCAAGTCGAGACTGAGATCAAGTTCCTACTAGCAGTTTCCTTCCGCTCGCGCGTGAATACCGGGACCTACAAGAGCATGCCAGACGAAGTTTCGCGATGCCGAAGACAAGGCAGGTCCTAGTCGATGATACACTCGGTTTAATCAAAGGGCGCGTGTCGCCTCGACGGAAGCACCGCTCAATTTGGGTCCGAAATTGCCTCTGCTGCCGGCTACCACCTTGGTCCCTTGGAGCTTGCTCGCAATGCCGCGTACGTTTAACGAGGATAAGTTCTCGTGGAAACGAGCCTCAAGGCACGCGGTCCTCTCCCTTCGTGCCGACGAGAGGAAAAAAGCTGCGGGCCTCTGCTCCAGTTACCCAAAAGGGTTAACCGAGTTTGGCAACGAGGGGCTGGAAACGCGGATGGAAGGCAGGAAAACGCGTTCCCGTCCGTTTTCACGCAGGACAGCCTCGTTGACCCTTTTGCTCGTCGACGTACTTGCCTAATCGTCCTTAAAGACTCCTCGGCGAATGATGAATCGCCGGTTTAACGAGGGTTCCTCCGGCAGTCGTCGATGCATCGGCTTACCGATCATTGCTACGAGCCCTGCGGCCGTAGCCCTGCCACGGAACCCAGACGAAGTTTGGACGGAACGATCCTGCTACGCCGTGTCTTCCTCCTCCTCGAAGATGGATGTTCGCTTGTTCCGCTCGCAAGTACTCGCGCTCCTCTCCTTCTTCGGCTATCCGAGCAATTACACGCCCAATATAACTTTTTATCCGAGCGACCGCGAGCTCGCTTCGCGTATCGATCATCGCAAGAACGGGCTATCCGGTTTAATTTTTCCCTTCCCGTACTCTCGCGACGTACACGCGAATCTTTCCCATTAGCGGCCGCTAATTCCTTTTTCTCCCGGCTTCTAACCAGTCCTGTACCCCTTAGAAGAATCGTCTCCTGCTCTTCGATTTTCCCCGATACGATCTCTTTTCTTCACCGCGTGCGCGCGAGCAAAAAGAAACTTCTAACCACCCATTACGACGACGCGCCGCGGAGGCAAGAAATCACACGGGCACGAACATCTCGGAAACACGGAACGAGGATCAATTATGCCCCGCTCATAAATCTCCAACTGCCCCGAGAAGAGTTTTATCATCGCAGGTAGTTTATAACCGGGATATTTTAAAGCTTCTCAGTCGCGGCCTGCGTTCCATATACGTAGCGTATCGAACGAAAGCCTTGAAAGTTCCCTGTATCCGACTTCGTAAAGGCGAACGCTCTTTGCGATATCGGGCTCGAAAAAATGTTATACTCAGGCCTCGTTGGAAAATATCGTTGGAAACATCCAGTCAAACGACGACTCTCTAGCTTTACGATACGAATTCCGTTCATTGGCTGTCGCTATCGATTTCGGGGCCCGAGCAACCCTGACTCGGAATTGGCATCGGTGAGACCGGTCAGAACGTTCCGATACAGGTGTCTTATTGTCTGAATGGCCCGAGGCCGTCATTGTTTGCACGTGCCAGATGTTAATTCCAGGTATACCCGCGAGAGATACGGTCGCCTTATCCAGCCACGCGAATACCAGTGCAAATGAACCGTTCCGAACGTGGCAGATAGTTGACACCTGGCCGTGATTTTTCCCTCTACGATCCCGACGAGAAGTAGGCTGATCGAAATAGCCGAAAGCCAAATGATAATGCTACCCTTTCTCGGTGTCGTCCATTCTTCGACGTGACTTTAATTTCGACACAACTTGGCAGAAAATTTCGATGGGGTTTCCAATTTCCGCGTAGACCCCGAATTTTTTGAAGAAATTATTTTCAGAGCGTGATAGAAACGAATACCGAGGAAAGTTGCTGGCGCAGCCTAAACAAAGGTTAATCCGTTTATCAACCCGACAGAGACTGGAAAGTTTGCGGAGCAGTTGCCGTGAATGGCGAGAAACCAAGGACCGACGATGGAAGCCGAGCTCCTTGAGACTTTCTTTTTTTCCCTTCACGGACGACGGCCCCGCGGCCGTGATTGCATTGAGGAAGGAAGCCCGAACGACGATTATGAATCACCGATTCGTGTAATCGCTGCCTCGTGGGACTCTGTTAAGAGTCGTCGAGGTTGGCAGCCGGCAAGAACCCTGGCCGTCGTCATCGTTCGGCGAACAACGTGGGAGGATACGGTACGGCGAATATCGCGATTCACGAAGACACAGGCCCCCGGTTCCAGCCGCAGGAAATGGAAGATCAATATGTACTCTCCTACTTTGCAGTGTCTTGTTACGCGAAGGAGATCCACGGTTACTCGCGCGCAACGGCTCCTTCCTTTTGCGCGCTCGTCTACGCCCCTGTGCATGTATTCAAATTGAACGTTGCTGATGAAGAAAGCGTGCTCGTTGCATGCTTCGTTTCACGGTAGCAATGACTTGTTCCCCGTCTACGTTCCGACTCCGTGGGATCCTAGGGTTGCGAGCACGGGGGATGCAGAGGGTGGAGTTGCAGGACTTTGATTGGCCGTGTTACCGGCGGCTTGATAAACACCGGCCATTGTTATTTTTCGGTGATGGTAATTGGTAGCGTGGGATTTCGAGCGTGAAATTCGAGAACGTGGGAATCGGGAAGGAAAAGTCGCGAAAATTTGTTCATTTTCCTAATTTCCAACGAAATCTTTCTGTCGTGTTAAAAACTAAACGGTAAAGTAAATTCTACAGCCTAGTGACGTAGGGGTGGGTGATCCTTCTCCTGCGTTTTGTCTGTTGTCTCCTGTTCTCTGGAGACGTCCTGTGACCTGCGTGGCCCTGAACAGATCAGTTCTAACCGTTCGCTCGTTTAATAAAGATGTATATAATTTTCCACCGTTTCCACTGACTGCTATTCCTCTGCGTTATAAACCCTTTAACGCTTTCTTTTCTTTCACTTCCTCTCGCAGCCTTCCATACGTAAATATCCCCCAAGCTCGTTACCGATGCAAGGAAAATGCGACCGTTTTACGGTCCCTTGCGCGACCAGTGAATATCGAGGGCTATTATTCATCGATGAAGAGATCGAAACGTATTCACCCCAACCTTTCCGCTTCTTACTTTATGTAAATATCGACGCGATCTTTCGCGAATCAACGTGGAAAGATATATATTCCTCTCGGAGTACAGCTGGCACACGCGGGAGGTTCGAGGAGGTTTACCGGGAAGAATACAGTTTCGATTCTACCCTGGGAAACGAACGATGTATGTACGGTAAACTTGTCTCCCTTTACGCAGACAAAGGAAGATTCCCTGATCGACCGTTTCCGCTCTTACGGTATAAAGCAAACAATCGAGTTTACCTACTTGGCGTAACTCGAGGTCCCGACGATAACTTTCTTACGAGTATTCAAGAGGGTCGCAATTACCGATCTATCGACCTAACGTATCCCTTCTTTCCTCGTTCTTCAGCCACAGCAGACCTACGAATTACATCGTCAAATGCACGTACGAAACGACTCGGTATGCCCAGCACGAGCGGAATGAACACGTGCAACCGTTCGGCGAATTCCTCGCGGGAGAACGCATCGCGAGTTCGCGTTACATATTGCACGGCTGTCGAGCGAGTTTGACCGCACCTTCAGGGTCACGATGCTGGAACCTAGAACTTCCGTAGGTAATAAAATATTCGGCTGTCAAGTGAACAGCTTCCCGCTCGACGAGCAGTTTACGAGCTGCAGGCTCGAAGAGTGCTGCAAACCGCAACCTGCACTCGCGATATTTGCATTGTCGTCGCATCGCGAAAATTTGTTCATTTTCCTAATTTCCAACGAAATCTTTCTGTCGTGTTAAAAACTAAACGGTAAAGTAAATTCTACAGCCTAGTGACGTAGGGGTGGGTGATCCTTCTCCTGCGTTTTGTCTGTTGTCTCCTGTTCTCTGGAGACGTCCTGTGACCTGCGTGGCCCTGAACAGATCAGTTCTAACCGTTCGCTCGTTTAATAAAGATGTATATAATTTTCCACCGTTTCCACTGACTGCTATTCCTCTGCGTTATAAACCCTTTAACGCTTTCTTTTCTTTCACTTCCTCTCGCAGCCTTCCATACGTAAATATCCCCCAAGCTCGTTACCGATGCAAGGAAAATGCGACCGTTTTACGGTCCCTTGCGCGACCAGTGAATATCGAGGGCTATTATTCATCGATGAAGAGATCGAAACGTATTCACCCCAACCTTTCCGCTTCTTACTTTATGTAAATATCGACGCGATCTTTCGCGAATCAACGTGGAAAGATATATATTCCTCTCGGAGTACAGCTGGCACACGCGGGAGGTTCGAGGAGGTTTACCGGGAAGAATACAGTTTCGATTCTACCCTGGGAAACGAACGATGTATGTACGGTAAACTTGTCTCCCTTTACGCAGACAAAGGAAGATTCCCTGATCGACCGTTTCCGCTCTTACGGTATAAA